TACGAGTACCACTGTAAGTGCCAGACTCTCGAGACCTCTTGGCCTCTCTTTCCTCTCTATCCTGAGTCAGCATACCCTCCAAACTCCTAGCAATCCCAACTACCTGCTGGTATGTAATATCCATCTCCAACTCTCGAGCCATGCTCAATCTAATACTGGGGTTGAGTCCCTCAATGAACCGATGAACCCGCTCTCGAATAGTAGCAACCAAGGCTGGTGAATTCCTAGCCAAATCACTGAATCAGACCGCATACTCTATACGGTCATAGCACCCTGGTGCAACTACTCAAACTCTGCGTGCCAAGCATCTTTGAGACTCTGAGGAACATACTCCCTCAGAAACATATCTCAAAACTGAGTCCAAGTGAGTGAAGCTGCCTCAGTCGGACTATCAAACTCGTATGCGCACAACCACTAATAGGTTGCTCCTCTAAGCTATAACGTAGTGAAAGAAATCCCACTAGTCTCCGCAACACCCATAGCACGGAGGATACGATGGCACTACTCAAGAAAACCCTGGGCATCCTCTGACGCCAAGCCACTGAAAGTAGGAGGGTGGTACTTCTTGTACCTCTCGAGCCTGAGCTGCTTCGCCTCAGAAGCTGCTTCCCTAACCCGTATTGGTATGATCTCTGGATCCTGGTCTACCTTAACCCACCGCTCTAGGGTACCGGCGACGGGAGTCTGTGCTCCTCCCCCGGCCTGAGATGTGGTAGGAGCAAGTGGTATCCATCCTACCTTAGCCAAGGTACTGAACATGCTCAAGAACTGGGCTAGAGTCTCCCGGAGGGCTGGTAAAGTAACAGGCATCTCAGGTGCCTACCCTCCAACTGGAGCTACTAGTGGCTTCTCTGTAGCAGCTTGTGCGGGTGCTCTGGCTGCACCACATGGACGTCCTCAGCCTCTACCCCAGCCCTGGCCTCTCGCAGCTCTAGCAGGGGGCATGGGTGTCTAATCCTGAAGATAAGTACAAACGTCTTCGTACCGATCCGTGAGACTCTACTAAACCTGCTTGTGACTCATAACACCTATGAACCTAGAACTCTGATACCAACTTGTCACGACCCCCCAATTTCCCTCCGTAGGATGTCGTGATGGGACATAGTCTCTAAGACTAGGTAAGCCTAACAGATTTCCGAAAATACATAATATAAAACTGAAGCTCAATTCTCAACACATGAAATAATTATAAAACTGCCATTCAATAATTATAACTCCCAAAACCTGGTGGAAACAAGTCACAAGCTTCTAAGAGCAACTACTACGTGTCTCTATAAATCAAAGTCTAAAGAAAATAAGGCAAAAACAACATAGTAAGGATAGAGGGGGGACTCCGAGGTCTGTGGACGCTGGCAGATATACCTTGATGTCTCCACGTGCGGTCCAACTCACTGGTATCTTGTCTGGTGAGAAGAACCTGGATCTGCACAAAAAGATGTGCAGAAGTGTAGTATGAGTACACCACAACGGTACCCAGTAAGTGCCAAGCCTAACCTCGGTAGAGTAGTGACGAGGTCAGGTCAGGCCCCTACTAGTTTAAAAGAAAAGTAAGGAGAGATATAATAATATTTTGAAATGACTGGGAATTTAAACATTAAGAAGCTTCAGAAAATATCAGCACAGTAAATAGAGGTAAACAACAGGGGGCACTCCCGAAGTACCGCCTCGTAGTCCCAATGTAAATATGCACGACAGGGGGATCTCATGAGGTACCGCCTCGTAGTCCGAAAGTAAATATGCAAGATAGGGGTATCTCCTGAGTAAACGCCTCATAGTCCCAAAGTAAATACATAGTACAGAGGGATCTCCTGAGTAAATGCCTCGTAGTCCCAAAGTAAATATGCAGTACAGGGGGATCTCCCGAGGAACCGCCTCATATTCCCAAAGTAAATATGCAGTACAGGGGGATCTCCCGAGGAACCGCCTCATATTCCCAAAGTAAATATGCAGCAGATAATCGAAGAGAACACGAATTTATAGCAAGAAATCTTAGAGTTAAAGATTTAATTCAAATCAAGGAAAATAGGTAATTCAGCTAAGCATGTTGCACAAATTGAAAGTAAGAGTTAAGGCACGTAGACATGCGATACTAGGCTAAACATGATCACTACATATGCTAAGGCAACTTAGTTAATGAATTTAAAAGAAGACAACTCAGCAAGAACCAAAATTTCCACAATTAGCCCGTGTACGCACTCATCACCTCGCGTACACGACCCTCACTTATCACAAACTGTTATAGCAGTACCAAATCTTAAGGGGATTACCCCCACACAAGGTTAGACAAGTCACTTACCTCAGATCTCGCTCAATCAATCGATGAGGATGCCTTTCCCTCGATTTTCCGACTCTGAATGGCCCAAATCTAGTGAAAAGAAATTACATATCATGAATACAACTACGAGAAACAAATTTAAATAATAAATATATGAATTTAGCAAAGGATCGAAAATTCGGCCCAAAACGTCTACCCGGGCCCACATCTCGAAATCGGGTAAAAGTAACAAAATATGAACGCCCACTCGACCACGAGTTCACCCATACCCAAATTACCAAAATCTGACACCAAATTGCCACTCAATTCCTCAAATCAAACTCTCCAAATCCCTAGCCTCAAACTCCCAAATTCCACCTTAAATACACACTAACTAGGTGGGAAAATCAATAGGGAAACAAGATTATTGAATAAAAATATTCACAAGTGGCTTACCTCAAGCAATTCCTCGAAAGTTCTCTCAAATATCGCCCTAGACCGAGTTCAAAATGTCCAAAATGAAGAATGAAATAAACCCTCGGAATTTCCCCTTTTCTGCCCAGCGAAATCACTTTTGCGAGTCCACAACTGCATTTGCGGCTCCGCACCTGCGGAATTTCCATCGCAGGTGCGGTTCTAACTTAGTCCGGGCACGTCTGCTTCTGCGGACCCAAATGTGCATCTGCTTCTGTGGCCAAGGAGAGCTTTTGCCAGCCACTCCTGCGGACCAAGTCCGCTTCTGCAACAAACAGGCCTCCCAGGCCTTTCAGCTTCTGCGCTCATTCTTCCGCAGAAGTGACTCCGCTCCTGCGGTCTTCACGTCACATCTGCGAGCATTGTCCAAGTCCCCCAGCCCCACATCTGCGCCCAATTGCTCACTTCTGCGGGTTCGCACCTGCGGTCAATCTTGCATAGGTGCGATTACAGCAGAACTGGTGCCTTCAGCAATTCTCCCAAGTCTAAATTTGATCCGTTAATCATTCGGAATCCAGCCGAGGCCCCCGGGACCTCAACCAAACTTACCGACAAGTCCTAAAAAATCATACGAACATAGTCGAGCCATACATGCAGACCACCTACGAGTGGTACTCCAAACCCTCAATGATCGTAAGTTGTATGCTAAGTTTTCTAAATGTGAGTTCTGGTTGAAGTCTGTAGCATTCTTGAGGCACATTGTATCCCATGAAGGTATAAAGGTAGACACTCAAAAGATAGAGGTCGTGAATCCTAGCCTAGACCTACCACTCCGATAGAGGTTCGTAGCTTTCTAGGCTTAGCAAGCTACTACCGGAGGTACGTAGAGGGTTTTTCTTCTCTTTCGGCACCATTGTCGAAGCTGACTCAGAAAGCAGCTAAGTTTTAGTGGACAGAGGCGTGCGAGCGGAGTTTCCAAGAGCTTAAAAAAGAGTTGACCTCTGTGCCAGTTCTAACACTTCCATAAGGTCTAGATGGTTATGCCGTGTATTGTGATACCTCAGGTGTCGGCTTAGGATGTGTCTTAATACAACATCCAAAGCTAATTTTGTACGCTTCAAGGAAGTTGAGGAAGCACGAAAGGAATTATCTAACCCACGGCCTCGAGTTAGCTGTGGTTGTACATGCACTTAAGATATGGCGGCATTATTTATATAGTGTACATGTGGATGTATTTACAGATCATAAAATCTTGAAATATATCTTCAAGCAAAAGGAGTTGAATTTGCAACAGAGGCGATGGCTAGAGTTATTGAAAGATTACAATGTTAACATTCTCTACCATCCATGGAAAGATAATGTTGTAGTTGATGCCTTAAATCGTCGATCTATGAGTAGCTTAGCACATTTAGAGGCTGAGAAAAGAGAACAAGCTAGAGAGATTCATCAATTTGGTTGTTTGGGGGTTCAGTTAGTAGGTTCTGGCGATGGTGGAGTTGTACTCCAAAACACTGCAAAATCATCTCTCATAGCTGAAGTAAAGGAAAGGTAGTACGAGGACACAGAGTTGGTCGAGTTGAGAGAGCAAGTTTCGTAGCAGAAGAAACCGTTGTTAGAGCTCAAGGAAGATGGAAGTCTCTGATACAGGGGTCATCTGTGTGTACCAGATGTAGCAGGTCTACGAGACAGGATTATGTCAGAGGCACATTATTCATGGTACTCCATTCATCCTGGGTCGATGAAGATGTATCATGACATTAAGGATTTTTACTGGTGGAAAGATATATAGAAGCACATAGCTGATTTTGTCGCCCAATGTCCTAGTTGCCAGTAGGTGAAGGTAGAGAACCAGAACCCCAGAGGATTAATGCAGACTATAGAGATCCCAACGTCAAAATGGGAGGCGATATACATCGACTTTGTCACAGGTTTGCCTCGTTCTCATCGTAAGTTCGATCCTATATGGGTGATAGTCGGTAGGCTCACGAAATTAGCCCATTTCCTGCCGGTCAGATCTACATATACAGCCAAAGATTATGCAAAGGTATATATTAAGGAGGTAGTGCGGCTACACGGAGTAACAGTATATATTATATCTGATCATGGGGACCTATTTACAGTGCATTTCTGGAGGTCATTTCAGAGAGGTCTAGGGACTTAGGTGAATCTCAATATACCTTTTCATCCACAGACTGATGGACAAGCCGAGCGCATAATTCAAACACTTGAGGATATGTTATGAGCATGTGTATTGGATTTTAAAAAATGATGGGATGAACATCTACCTCTTATCAAGTTTGCATAAAATAACGGTTAACACTCTAGTATCCAGATGGCTCCGTATGAGGCTTTGTATGGGCGTAAGTTCACATCTCCTATAGGGTGGGTTGATGTTAGAGAATCTAGGCTACATAGGCCAGACTTGGTTCAACAGGCCATAGAGAAAGTAAAGCTTATCCAGGAGCTATTGTTGACAACTCAGAGTCGTCAGAAGTCATATTCTGACATGCGGAGACAAGACTTAGAGTTCGGTGTTGATGACTGGGTATTCTTAAAGGTGTCGCCTATGAAGGGCGTGATGAGGTTTGGCAAGAAAGGCAAGCTTAGCCCACGGTATATTGGGCCTTATAGGTTTATTCTAAGAGTGGACCGAGTAGCTTTTGAGTTAGATTTTCCCTCGGAATCGAAGTCTGTCCATTCGAGTTTTTACGTATATATGCTACGGAAGTGCATTGGGGATCCTACCCCAGTGGTGCACACTGATGATGTACAGATCACAAAGGACTTATCGTACGAGAAAGTTCCAGTTGCCATCCTAGATCGACAAATTTGCAAGCTACAAAATAAGGAGGTAGCCTCCGTGAAAGTTTTATGGAGAAGCAAGAACGTGGAAGAGATGATATGGGAAGCGGAGGGAAAAATGAGGTCTAAATACCCCCACATATTTCAAACCGAAGATATGGCTCGAGATGGGATACATCAGCACTGCTCTATTCAGGCCAGTAGGTGTTCAGGTAAGCTCTTATTTTTGACTTTCAGTATTTATGATTGACGGCCGTGTGAGGCAAAGTGTTTCTATTTATAGACATTGGCCATGTGTGGCATGCATAGTATGTTTTCTAGCGGCGTACAGGTTGGTTTTAGTCTAGTGTATAGAGGAGACTCTAGGAAATATTTCCCAAGTCTCTAAGAGTAAACATTCAAGGACGAATGTTCCTAAGGGGGGAATGATGTTACACCCTATATTTTCGTATGTAAAAGTGCATCGTAAGCAAACTGATGTAAGACCAAAAATGAGATCATCTTTGAAAGTATATAAAGTAAATTATCATGTTACCTCAGAGGTTACAAATATTGACGATCATGAACAACAAGTACAAAGAGGGTTGGAAGGTTCAGAAGCTAAAGAAATTGAATAAAATAATATTTCGTCGACAAGTTGGAAATGTGATAACCCGTACCTTTGGGGTGAGACTAGGGTTCTTAACATGATAAGAGGGTTATGTTATGATTTATTTTAGTCTTATGATAGTCATGTGTTAAGTTTTGAAGTCAAGCGAGTTGTGGAACAAAAGTCGATGAAAGTCATCACAAGTTACGTTCATAAGTTTTACTAAAATTTCGGTCAAATGTCACTGTAAGTTTCTCCGAATATATTTAGAGTTACGAGGTGATCCACCCATAAAATTGAAGATCTATAAGTCTATTTTCTAAATCATTAAACCGTTTGTCAATACGACATCGTAATAGATAGATATATGCATTTGTGTGAGACTGCACAGACTGCTAGGTGACAAGTAGGTGTGTCACCTACTTGCTTAAATGAGAGGACTAAATATGTCCAAAAAGGGGGCTATTTCGGGTCACCCAAAGAGCCATTTTAAGGTATTATCTCCTTCAAATATATAACACTCATTATATAGCAAAATAACCAGATATAAGCCCCTGAAATAGTCCCCAAAAAATAGAACACAAACCCTTATTGATTTTCTCTTCTTTTCAAGTTCTAGTTGGAGGAAAACCTAGGGCTTGAAAAACCAAGATAGGAGTTGATATATTCAACAAATAAGGTAAGTATATTGCTCTTTTTAATCTATTGTTTCTGCTGGAAATGTATGGAAAGTTGTTCTATAATTGTAAGAACTCATGGGACGGTGATCGGAAGCCGTGAGTTCGAGTTATTCAACTTGTAGTGGACTATTTTGTGGGTTGTTTCGTGTTAATGTTGGATTGCATGTTTTGATACTATTTTAGGGAGTTTTGGAGGAGAAAGGGTGTGGATAAACACCACATAAATTCAGGGTGGTGGGCTGGTTGTTTGTCGTAATATATTTGGGTTGTTTGACACTACTATGGTTGTCATTTTGTGTATGAAGTGATAGGGGTATGTTGGGCTATTTTATAGTATTTTGTGATGGATATAAGATTGCAAAATGATGTATATATGTTGTTATTGTTGTGTTCTTGTATTTTTGGTGTTGTCTAGAATTGGGAGGAAGTTAAGATTATAGGGTAGATGTTGCCCGTTTTAATATACAATAAGCTTGTCGTTTATTATGCTATAGTTGTACCTTTTATATCTTAATGACAGTATTATATCGTTGTTGTAGATTAAGGTACAAAGAGATGAGTTCAGCGTGGTTAATGGAAAGATTGTGATAAGGTATGTTAAGGCTAAACATTTCCTTCATTTTGGAATGATCATGTATCCTAATCTCAAAAGCTATCATATTCTCCCTTATCGGGACTTTATAATAAGTTAAGTATTGTCTTCTTCCAGTCAAGAGAGGAGAGGGTCTATATATATATATATATATATATATATATATACACACAGTATTTTCACCACCATCGAGCTATAATCGGTGGTAGGCCCCTATTGGGCAACCTCTGATCAGATGGTAAGTTATATACAGAGCCTACTGTGGCCGAGCGCATATGAGCGAGCCCAGAATGGCCGAGATACCAAGCCTAGTATGGCTGAGCACCTACGAACGAGCCTACTATGGCTGAGAAGTTACACGTACCGAGCCTTATAAGGCAGGGCAGCTATTTTACTTACTGTATTGAGAGAGTTGAATCAGTATCAGCAGGTAAGTATATCTCTAGATCATACTATTATTATATTATCAGTTCAGTTTAAGCTTACAGATATTTTTATTTCCTTACATACTCGGTATATTGTTTCATGCTGACATCCCTTTCCTAGGGACGATGCATTTCATGCATGCAGGTTCAGATATACAAGCTGGTAGACCTCCTTCGTAGGTGTTGTTTGTGGTCAGCTTGATATGAAAGCTCCACGTCCTTCGGAGTTGTCGGGTCTAGGGTTTTGAGTACATATTGTGTATATATGTATATATATTATGGGTAAGTCGGGGCCCTGTTCCGACAACAATACATCCATCAGTAGAGGCTTGTAGACATATCATGTCAGTCAGTGTAGTATGTTGGGCTTGTAGGCCTTGTATGTATATTTTTGTTGGTTTGTCAGCTGTAGTATTTATGACGGCCTTGTCGGCCCAGCTTTATATTGATGTCTAATCAGAGCTAGTTTCCGTTCAGCTTTATATTTTGTTTCACAAATTGTCTTGCAATGTGGCCCTAAGGCCAAAGTATAACATTGTATGTTTAGAGTCGCTCAGTCTCAAGTTGGTACACTCGGTTAAGTGAGGCACCGGGTGCCGGTCTCGCCCCCCAGGTTTGGGGTGTTACAAACTTGGTATCACAGTAGTTCTGTCCTAGGGAGTCTACAAGTCGTGTCTAGTAGGGTCTTGTTTATAGATGTGTTGTGCACCATATTATATAAGAAGGGAACTATAGGGCATTTAGGAGTTGGTTACGCTTCTTTAAAATCTAAATAGTTCTGTAGAACTGAGTTATAGGAAATTTGAGTTAAACTTGCGTATTGGTGTTTGCCTACAAAGATGAAGGTGACTAGGAAGACTACTGCTAGTTAGAGGAGAGATATAGCAGCGGGAGAAGGGACCGGCAGGGTACCCCCGGTAGATGGGGCCCAGTATGAGGCCCAGGGCGAGACCCCTACTCGGCCATTACTGGCTCCTCCACCACATGAGAAGATTCCTAGGGATACCGCACATCCAGTTCCCTCTCCACTTCCATCAGATCAGGACTTGAGGAGTGCGGTGCGGTTGTTGACATAGTTGGTAGCAACCCAGCAACAGGCTAGGGCATCAGCTAGTGTAGGATATTCTGAGGGGTCTGGGAGTTCAAGGGTCCAAGAGTTTATTGCCTTAAGTCCCCTAGAGTTCATAGGGACAGATCAGAGGGAGGACCCATAGGATTTCATAGATCAGCTTCACAGGATCTGTTGGGTTATGCATGCCACAGAGAAAGAGGCAGTTGAGCTGGCAGCTTTTCAACTCCGAGATATAGCCATCCTTTGGTACGAGGGATAGGAGAAGTTCGGGAGACGTGATGCACCTCCAGCTATTTGGGGGAATTTCTTAGATGCCTTCCTTGACCAATACTTACCATGAGAGATCCGACAGGCTCGAGTCGATCAGTTTCTAGCCCTCAACTAGGGAAATATGAGCATTCGAGAGTATAGTCTCTTTTTTGACTGATTGGCCATGTATGCTCCATCCATAGTTGCAACTATGCGGGATAGGATCCACAGGTTTATAGCAGGGTTGGCCCCAAAGTTGACTGAGGCATGTGCCATCCCTGCATGGCAGGATAGTATGGATATCTCCTGGATTTAGGCATTCACACAGAATATAGAAAGTGGCAGGCGTCGGCAGCAGGGTACAAAGAGGAGTGAGCAAGGGCAGCGTAAGAGGATGAGAGTTTCCAGGTCTCAGAAGCAGTCTCAGGGTAGTTATAGGTCCCCAGTACTTTGGACGTCCATCTAGGCCTCCACCGCCTCAGTTACAGGGTTACAGGTTTGACTGATATGCTCAGTCTGGACCAGGTGAGAGCTCACGGGCGTCAAGTTTGCAGCAAAAATGAGGTTCAGGGCAGACATGGTCATTTTTGCCGCAGTGCGACATCTGTGGTGGAGGACACTTGGGCCAATGCTGAGCAGGTTCCGATGCTTGTTATACATGTTGTAACACCCCGGAAAAATTTAAAGTATTTCAGTGTAAAGCACTGTAATCTTCGCAAGTGAATTCAAGGTTTCGTGGTGCCGGAGTAGGCTTACGTGTTTGAGGATAGTATAAAGGAAAGGAAACATTTTGGAGGAAAAGCGCATTTATGCGGCCCATTATGCGGCCGCATAATCACTCTACGGACCGCATAATGGCCGTAGAGTGAAGCAGTAAGTTTGGCCAACTTGAGGTCCATTTTGCGGTCGATTATGCAACCGCATATCGGTCGCATAATCCCTCTTGGGTTTTTGCGGAGGGAGTTCTGCGGTGCATTATGCGACTGCAGAACGAGTATGTCGACCACATACTGGTCGCATACCTGGGCCAAAAGTTCAGGCCCCTAAGGGCCATTTCTGCGGTCGCATAGTGTCGGGGCACCCATTTTCTTAGTTTAAAACCCGACCCCCATTCCGTTAAAACACCCCTTTAGTCTATTTTGAAGCTCATTTCTTATATTTCTAGTATGAGAGAGAGAGGGTTCTAGAGGGAGGGCCTAATTTTCATCAATTGATCTTCAACCATCACTCAAAGCCTTGGAAATATTCAAATAGAGCACCAATATTCTTCACCCTAAAAGGTAAGGCTTCATCACCCCAACTCTTAATTTCAAGCATAGCTATAATGGGGTATTAGTGTGATACTTCATGGGTATGAGGGTGGTTCATCTTGCATGCATGTGATAAAGAGTGTGGCAAACATAAAGAGTGAACTAGAACCATGAACGTTTTCCTAATTTTGGGTTCAATTTGTATATTGCTAAAATAGATTGAGGTTGCTAAGGGTTCCGGATAATTGTAGAGTCTAAATAAGCGTGATTGAGGTAAGTTGGTTAAACTTTCTCTCTTGGAATTGAATTCCATAATGTTTCTGTAAGTCTCAAAGTGTGGGTTACGTATTAAAAGCTTATGGCTTTGAGTCGTGTTTCAATGAAAGATAGAATTGTCTAAAAGCTTTTGTACTAAATTCATGCCCATTAGTGGCTGCTTTAACTAATGCTTTGATTTATTAATATATCCAGTGTGATTCGAGTTCTATATACTCATGTGTTAAAATTGGACATTGTCATTTCTGGGGGAGAGTATTGCAAGAGTAAATGGTGTATTGACTGTTTATGATTTTTCATGTGTGTTTCTATTGTTGGTTGGTATGCTTCATTCTTTGGGAAGAAACCATTTGTGTTTGAAGTTTCCATTTCAAATGGATTTGAAGTATATGATTTTTAAAATATCCTATATGTTGATACTTGATGGTGATCTTTGAAATTGAAAGAGGTGAAAGTGTGGAATATGAAATACGGCCATTGTGCCAGGAATAAAGAATCTTGTGAATGGCCTAATGAGCCAAGGAAATATTGTCGTTGTGAATGACTGGAAATACTAATGAGAATTCATACAATGTGAAAGATGTTGAGGTGAGTACAATTGTATTTATGATATTTCTGTTTGCAAATCAAATCAAAACTATTTTTGGGAGCATCATTAGCAATACCGAGGAAGGGTGGGTCATAAGGCCCATACCTGAAACTACACGTGCCCGTGTAGGGGTGAATTGTGATATTATCTCCCTTAATTGGGATGAAACTGGAACCTTTGTGGATTGGAAAAGTCAACCCGCACGGCATATGTGGGAAGGTGGCCTAGCTGATCGGGTGGAGATCAGATGCCATATTGCGCATATGGTGGTACTACTATTGGTAACAACTTTCTTTCACATCACATGTCAAACCACATTGTTCGTGGGGAGATGGCCTAGCCGATCGGGCGTGATCGGACTCCGTGCTAACAAAGACGGTGGTATATCGGTGCTAATGATCTCCCAACCAAAATTATATATGAAGTTTGTATTTTGAAAATTGTTATGTTTTAACTGGACGTTTGGATATTGTTGATTGTGACTTGCTTTTCTATGTATTTCCTTTTCTTATATGGGCATTCTATTTTGAAAGAGGATTTTTAGCTATACATACTAGTGCTATTCGACAGTACTAACGTCCCTTTTGCTGGGGCGCTGCATCTTTAATGGATGCAGGTGGTTCTTCAGCAGGTGGCATTGATCAATGATAGTAGTACACTCTTTTCAGCTGATTTGGTGCGCCCCACTTCGTTTCGGGGTCATGTATCTTTTGTTTCTCATGTACAGTGTTTTGAGGTATAGCCGGGGCCTTGTTGCCGGCATTTCCATATTACTCTTCTATTATATTTAGAGGCTCCGTAGACAGGTTGTGGGTTATAGTTGATGTTGGGAATTGAACTAGAAATGTTGGTACTTGGAAATTATGTTTTTCATTAATTCTATAAACTCGTAATGTTTTGGAAATTATGAATGAAGCTACTAATGGGAATGAAAAGGAAGTTGTTAATAAAATCTTTTCAGTGATTGATTAATGGAGTACATCTCCTCTTTATTCATGGATGAGTTTGGGTAGAAGTAAGTCTAATAGGCTTGCTCGGCTGGGTTCTCTCGGTTGAGCGCCGGTCGCGCTCCCTAAGTTTGGGGCGTGACACATGTGGGCATACGGGGCATATGATGCGAGATTTCCCAAATAGAGATTCTGGGCATATGGCAGAACCAACGGTTCAGCAGTAGGATCATCTCTGTTCGCGCATCCTTCAGGGCGCGAGCCTCAGTCTTCGACTGGTAAAGGTCGAGGCAGAGGTAGAGGTTCCAGTTCAGGCGGTAATCAGAATCGTATATATGCTTTAGCGGGGCGACAGGACCATGAGTCTTCACCAGACGGTGTAACGGGTATATTGACCATTTGCTCTCACGATGCTTATGCCTTGATAGACCCAGGATCTACTTTATCGTATATTACCCCGTTTGTCGTGGGGAAGTTTGGTATAGTGCCTGAAATACTGACTGATCCTTTTGTGGTATCTACACCGATCGGAGAATGGATTATTGCTAGATGGATTTATCGAGGTTGTACGGTGAAAGTCTGTAGTTGTCAGACCTCATCCCAATCTAGTTGATCTAGATATTGATTTTAGCATCGATTTGCTTCAGAGAACTCAACCAATATCCATCCCTCCCTATAAAATGGCACCTGCCGAATTGAAGGATTTGAAGGTGCAGTTAAAAGATTTGTTGGAGAAAGGTTTCATTAACCCAGTACCTCACCTTGGGGTGCACCGGTATTGTTTGTGCGGAAGAAATACAGCTCGCTGAGGATGTGTATCGATCATAGGCAGCTGAAGAAGGTAACTATTAAGAATAAGTATCCACTTCCAAGGATCGATGACTTGATTGATCAGTTGCAGGGGGCTAGAGCCTTTTCAAAGATAGATTTGAGGTCGGGGTACTACCAGGTCAGTGTTAGGGAGAATGATATTTTGAAGAAAGCCTTCAGGACCCGATATGGCGACTACGAGTTCCTTGTCATGTCCTTCGGGTTGACAAATGCCCCCACCGTATTTATGGACTTGATGAATATCTTATTCTAGCCATTTTTAGATCTGTTCGCGATAGTATTTATTGATGATATTTTGGTTTCTTCACATTAAGAGGAGGAGCATGTAGACCACCTGCGAGTGGTACTCCAAACCCTCCATGATCGTAAGTTGTATGCTAAGTTTTCTAAATGTGAATTCTGGTTGAAGTTTGTAGCATTCTTGAGGCACATTGTATCCCATGAAGGTATAAAGGTAGACACTCAAAAGATAGAGGTCGTGAATCCTGGCCTAGACCTACCACTCCGATAGAGGTTCATAGCTTTCTAGGCTTAGCAGGCTACTACCGGAAGTTCGTAGAGGGTTTTTCTTCCTTTCGGCACCATTGACGAAGCTGACTCAGAAAGCAGCTAAGTTTTAGTGGACAAAGGCTTGCGAGCGGAGTTTCCAAGAGCTTAGGAACAAGTTGACCTTCGCTCCAGTTATAACACATCCATAGGGTCTAGAGGGTTATGCCGTGTATTGTGATGCCTCAGGTGTCAGCTTAGGATGTGTCCTGATGCAACATCCAAAGCTAATTTTGTATGCTTCAAGGCAGTTGAGGAAGCACGAGAGGAATTATCTGACCCACGACCTCGAGTTCACTGCGGTTGTCCATGCACTTAAGATATGGCGGCATTATTTATATAGTGTACATGTGGATGTATTTACATTAAAAAAAAGGTTGCAAAATATCTTCAAGCAAAAGAAGTTGAATTTGCAATAGAGGTTATGGCTAGATTACGACGTTAACATTCTCTACCATCCAGGGAAAGATAATGTTGTAGTTGATGCCTTAAGTCGTCGATCTATGGGTAGCTTAGCACATGTAGAGGCTAAAAAAAGAGAACAAGCTAGAGAGATTCATCAATTGGGTTGTTTGGGGGTTCAGTTAGTAGGTTTTGGCAATGGTGGAGTTGTACTCCAAAACACTACAAAATCATCTCTCATAGCTGAAGTAAAAGAGAGGCAGTACGAGGACAAAGAGTTGTTCGAGTTGAGAGAGCGAGTTTCGTAGCAGAAGAAACCGTTGTTAGAGCTCAAGGAAGATGCGGTTCTCTGATACAGGGGTCGTCTGTGTGTCCCAAAAGTAGCAGGGCTATGAGACAGGATTATGTCAGAGGCACATTATTCATGGTACTCCATTCATCCTGGGTCGATAAAGATGTATCATGACATTAAGGACGTGTACTGGTGGAACGATATGAAGAAGCACATAGCTGATTTTGTCGCCCAATGTCCTAGTTTCCAAGAGGTCAAGGTAGAGCACCAGAACCCCGGAGGGCTAATGCAGACTATAGAGATCCCAACGTGGAATTGGGAGGCGATAAACATCGACTTTGTCACAAGTTTGCCTAGTTCGCATCGTAAGTTCGATTCTATATAGGTGATAGTTGATAGTCTCACGAAATTAGCCCATTTCCTACCGGTCAGATCTACATATACAACCAAAGATTATGTGAATGTATATATTAAGGAGGTAGTGCGGCTACACAGAGTACCAGTATCTATTATATCTGACCATGGGGACCTGTTTATAGTGCATTTCTGGAGGTCATTTCAGAGAGGTCTAGGGACTTAGGTGAATCTCAATATACCTTTTCATCCACAGACTGATGGACAAGCCGAGCGCATAATTCAAACACTTGAGGATATGTTATGAGCATGTGTATTGGATTTTAAAAAATGATGGGATGAACATCTACCTCTTATCAAGTTTGCATAAAATAACGGTTAACACTCTAGTATCCAGATGGCTCCGTATAAGGCTTTGTATGGGCGTAAGTGCAGATCTCCTATAGGGTGGGTTAATGTTGGAGAATCTGGCTACATAGGCCAAACTTGGTTCAGTAGGCCATAGAAAAAGTTAATCTTATCCAGGAGCTACTGTTGACAACTCAGAGTCGTTAGAAGTCATATTCTGACGTGCGAAGATGAGACTTAGAGTTCGGGGTTCATGACTAGTATTCTTAAAGGTGTCGCCTATGAAGGGCCTGATGAGGTTTGGCAAGAAAGGCAAGCTTAGCCCATGTTATATTGGGCCTTATAGGTTTATTCCAAGAGTGGACCGAGTAGCTTATAAGTTAGATTTGCCCTCAGAATCGAAGTATGTCCATTCGGGTTTTCACGTATCTATGCTATGGAAGTGCATTGGGGATGCTACCCCAGTGGTGCCCACTGATGATGTACAGATCACAGAGGACTTATCATATGAGAAAGTTCCAGTTTCCATCCTAGACCGACAAATTTGCAAGCTACGAAATAAGGAGTTAACCTCCGTGAAAGTTTTATCGAGAAGCAAGAACGTGGAAGAGATGATATGGGAAGCGGAGGGAGAAATGAAGTCTAAATACCCCCATCTATTTCAAACCGAAGATATGTCTCGTGATGGGATACTTCAGCACTGCTCTATTTAGGCCAGTAGTTCATCAGGTAAGCTCTTATTTTTGACTTTCACTATTTATGATTGACGGCCGTGTGAGGCAAAGTGTTTATAGACATTGGCCATGTGTGGCATGTATAGTACGTTTTCTAGCTGCGTACAGGTTGGTTTTAGTCTAGTGTATAGAGGAGACTCTGGGAAATATTTCCCAAGTTTCTAAGAGTAAACATTCAAGGATGAATGTTCCTAAGGGGGGAATGATGTTACACCCCATATTTTCGTACGTAAAAGTGCATCGTAAGCAAACTGATGTAAGATCAAAAATGAGATCATCTTTGAAAGTATATAAAGTAAATTATCATGTTACCTTAGAGGTTACAAATATTGAAGATCATGAACAACAAGTACAAAGAGGTTTGGAAGGTTCAAAACCTAAAGGATATGAAGAAAATAATGTTTGGTCGAAAGTCGACAAGTTGGGAATATTATAACTCGTACCTTTGGGGTGAGACTAGGGTTATTAACATGATAAGAGGGTTATGTTATGATTTATTTTAGTCTTCTGATAGTCATGTGTTAAGTTTTGAAGCCAAGCGAGTTGTTGAACAAAAGTCGATGAAAGTCATCACAAGTTAGGTTCATAAGTTTTATTGAAATTTGGGTCAAATGTCACTTCGATTTTCTCCCAATATACTTAGAGTTACGAGGTGATCCACCCATCAAACTGAATATCTATGAGTCTATTCCTAACTCATTAAACTGTTTGTCAATACAACATCGTATTAGAGAGATATATGCATTTTTGCGAGACTGCGCGGACTGCTAGGTGACAAGTAGGTGTGTCACCTACTTGCTTAAATGAGAGGACTAAATATGTACAAAACGGGGCTATTTCGGATCGGATAAAGAGCCCTTTTAAGGGCTTATCTCCTGAAAATATAACACTCATTATATAGCAAAATAACCAGAGATAAGCCCCTGAAACATTTCCCAAATAATTGAACACAAACCCTAATTGATTTTCTCTTCTTTTCAAGTACTAGTTGGAGGAAAACCTAGGGTTTGAAGAACTAAGATAGGAGTTGAGATATTCAACAAATAAGGCAAGTATATTTCTCTTTTTCTTATATTTTTTCTGCTGGAAATGTATGCAAGTTGTTCTATAATTGTAAGAACTCACGGGACGGTGATCGTAAGTCGTGAGTTCTAGTTATTCAACTTAGTAGACTGTTTTGTGGGTTGTTTTGTGTTGCTGTTGGATTGTGTGTTTTGCATTGTTTTAGGGAGTTTTGGAGGAGAAAGGGTGTGGAGAAACACCACATAAATGCAGGGTGGTGGTCTGGCTATTTGTCGTAATATATTCGGGTTGTTTGACACTACTATGGTTGTCGTTTTGTGTATGAAGTGATAGGGGTATGTTGGGCTATTTTGTAGTATTTTGTGATGGATATAAGATTGCAAAATGATGTTTATATGTTGTTATTGTTGTGTTCTTATATTGTTGGTGTTGTCTCGAATTCGAAGGAAGTAAAGATTATAGGGGAGATATTGCCCGTTTTAATATAAAATAAGCTTGTCGTTTCTTATGTGATAGTTGTACCTTTAATAACTTAATGATAGTTGTACCTCCTCCATAGATGTTGTCTATGTTCAGCTTGATCTGTAAGCTCCACGTCCTTCGGAGTTGTCGGGTCTAGCATTTTGAGTACATATTATGTATATATGTATATATACTATGGGTAGGTCGAGGCCCTGTTCCGAACACAGTACATCCATCACTAGAGGCTTGTAGACATATCTTGTAAGTCAGTGCAGCATAATGGGCTTGTAGGCCTTGTATGTATATTTTTGTTGTTTTGTTAGCTGTAGTAGTTATGACGGCCTTGTCGGCCCAGTTTTATATTGATGTCCAGTCAGAGCTAATTTTCACTCAGCTTTATATTTTGCTTCAAAAATTGTCTTGCAATGTGGAACTATGGCCAAAGTATGACATTGTATGTTCAGAGGCCCTCAGTCTCAAGTTGGTATACTCGGTTAAGTGAGGCACCGGGTGCCGGTCTTTCCCCCCAGGTTTGGGGCGTGACAAACATGGTATCAGAGCAGTTCTATCCTAGGGAGTCTACAAGTCATGTCTAGTAGGGTCATGTTTATAGATGTGTTGTGCACCACATTATATAAGTAGTGAACTACAGGGCATTTAGGAGTTGGTTACCCTTCTTTAAAATCTAAATAGTGTTGTAGAACTGAGTTATAGGAAATTTGAGTTAAACGTACGTATTGGTGTTTTCATATAGAGATGACGGTGACTAGGAAGACTACGGCTAGTCAGAGAAGAGATATAGCAGCGGGTGAGGGGGCCAGCAGGGTACCCCCAGTAGATGGGGCCCAATCTGAGGCCCAAGGCGAGACCCCTACTCGGCCATTACCGGCTCCTCCACCCCCTGAGGAGATTCCAAGGGATACTGCACATCCAGTTCCCCCTCCACTTCCATTAGATCAGGACTTGAGGAGTGCGGTGCATTTGTTGACACACTTAGTAGTTACCCAGCAACTGGCTAGGGCATCAGCTAGTGCAGGATCTTCTGAGGGGTTTGGGAGTTCAAGGGTTCGAGAGTTTATTTCCTTAAGTCCCCCAGAGTTCACAGGTACCGATCAGAGAGAGGACCCATAGGATTTCATATATCAGCTTCAAGGATCCTTCGGGTTATGTATGCCATAGAGAAAGAGGCAGATGGGCTGGCAGCTTTTCAGCTCCGAGATATAGTTGTCCTTTGGTACGAGGGAAAGGTCCAGGGGACGTGATGCACCTCTAGCTATTTGGGGGAATTTTTCAGATGCCTTCCTTGACCAATACTTACCGCGGGAAATCTTACAGGCTCGAGTCGATCAGTTTCTAGCCCTTAAGTAGGGAAATATGAGCGTTCGAGAGTATAGTGTCCATTTTTACTCATTGGCCATATATGCTACATCCATATTTGCTACTATACGGGATAGGGTCCACAGGTTTATAGCAAGGTTGGCCCCAGAGTTGACCGAGGCATGTGTCACTGCTGCATTGCAGGATAGTATGGATATCTCTCAGATTCAGGCATTCGCGCAGAATATAGAAAGTGGCAGGCGTCGGCAGCAGGGTACAGAGAGGAGTGAGCAAAGTCAGTGTAAGAGGATGAGATTTTCCTGGTCTCAGGAGTAGTCTCAGGGTAGTTATAGGCCCCAGTACTTCAGACAGCCACCTAGGCCTACACCGCCTCAGTTACAGGGTTATAGGTTTGGCTGATATGCTCAGTCAGGACCAGGTGAGAGCTCATGGGCGTCGGGTTTGCAGTGACAATGAGGTTCAGGGCAGACATGGTCATTTCCACCGTGGTGTGACATCCGTGGTAGAGGACACTTGTGCCAATGTCGAGCAAGTTTTGACGCTTGTTATACATGTGCGTGTCAGGGGCATATGATGTGAGATTGCCCAAATAGAGATTCTAGGGGTATGGCAGAACCAACGGTTCAGCAGCCGGATCATCTATGTCTGTGTATCCTTCAGGGCGCGAGTCTTAGTCTTCGGCTGGTAGAGGTCGAGGCAGAAGTAGAGGTTCCAGTTCATGCGGTAATTAGAACCGTATCTATGCTTTAGTGGGTCGACAGGACCAGGAGTCTTCACCTGACGTTGTGACAAGTATATTGACCATTTTCTCTCACGATGCTTATGCCTTGATAGACCCAGTATCTACATTATCTTATATTACCCCATTTGTCGCGGGGAAGTTTGGTATAGTGCCTTAAATACTGACTAATCCTTATGCAGTTTCTACACCAGTTGAAGAATTAATTATTGCTAGACGGGTTTACCGAGGTTGTATGGTGAAAGTTTGTAGTCGTCAGACCTCAACCGATCTAGTTGAGCTAGAGATTGATTTAACCATTGATTTGCTTCTGAGAACTCAACCAATATCCAGCCCTCCGTATAAAATGGCACCTATCAAATTGAAGGAGTTGAAGGAGCAGTTAAAATATTTACTAGAGAAAGGTTTCATTAGACCCAGTACCTCACCTTGGGGTGCACCGGTACTGTTTGTGCGGAAGGAAGACAGCTCGCTGAGGATGTGTATCAATTATAGGCAGCTGAACAAGGTAACTATTAAGAATAAGTATCCACTTCCAAGGATCGATGACTTGTTTGAGGTCGGGGTACTACCAGGTCATAGTTCGGGAGAATAATATTCCGAAGAAAGCCTTCAGGACCCGATATGGCCACTTCGAGTTCCTTGTCATGTCCTTCAGGTTGACAAATGCACCCGTCGTATTTATGGACTTGATGAATAGTGTATTCCAGTCAATTTTATATCAATTAGTGATAGTATTTATTGATGATATTTTGGCTTATTAACGTTCAGAGAAGGAGCATGCAGACCACCTACGAGCGGTTATCCAAACCCTCCATGATCTTAAGTAGTATGCTAAGTTTTCTAAATGTGAGTTCTGGTTGAAGTCTGTCGCATTCTTGAGGCACATTGTATCCCATGAAGGTATAAAGGTAGACACTCAAAAGATTGAGGTCGTGAAATCCTGGCCTAGACCTACCACTCTGATAGAGGTTCGTAGCTTTCTAGGCTAAGTAGGCTACTACCGGAGGTTCGTAGAGGGTGTTTCTTCCCTTTCGGCACCATTTACAAAGCTGACTCAGAAAGTAGCTAAGTTTCAGCTGACTCACAAATGCACCCGCCGTATTTATGGACTTGATGAATAGCATAATCCAGCCATTTTTAGATCTGTTCGTGATAGTATTTATTGATGATATTTTGGTTTATTCACGTTCAGAGGAGGAACATGCAGACCATTTAGGAGCGGAGTTTCCAAGAGCTTAAGAACAAGTTGACCTCAGCGCCAGTTCTAACACTTCCACAGGGTTATGCCGTGTATTGTGATGTCTCAGGTGTTGGCTTAGGATGTGTCCTGATGCAATATGGAAAGGTAATTGTGTACGCTTCAAAGCAGTTGAGGAAACACGAAAGGAATTATCTAACCCACGACCTCGAGTTA